TAGTAGTCTACTACTACTACTACTACCACCACTACTACTACTACTACTACTACTACTACTACTACTACTAGGACGGTAGTCTTTCTAGTAGTAGTAGTAGTTGTAGTAGTAGTAGCAGCAGAAGAAGTAGTAGTAGTAGTAGTAGTAGTAGTCGTAGTAGCAGCAGTAGTGGTAGTGGTAGTGGTACTGGTACTGGAACTGGTACTGGTACTGGCAGTGGGACTGGTACTGGTACTGGTACTAATACTAGTACTAGTGCTACTACTAACTGGTCTGACATATGTTCAGCATTGCCCGAAGGCTGGCCTATGTTGCCGACTGTGTAGCCTTTGAGCTCTTCAAGCAGCAAAATCCGGACGTTGCTTTGAAGCCCCGTGCCGTGGCCGGCTTCTCTGTGGGAGAAATTGCTGCACTAGTTGCTGCTGGTGTCATGTCCTATGACCAGGGGCTGATAATTGTGAAGGCCCGGGGCGAGGCAATGCAACAGTGGGCCGACGAAGAGGACATGTCGGCCATTGCGGTTTTTGGTATGGATGAGGAGCAGCTGCAGAAGTTGTGCAGTCGTGTTGACCCCAACATGCGGGCACCATCGCAACAGAAGGTCTTCATATCGTATTGCTGGGGTCGTCGCGGTTTCGTTTGTTCAGGACAGCATTCCGCCGTCGTAGAGCTACAAGAAAGGTTGCAGCAGTCAGGAGACGAGGCTGTCTACACACAGATGCTGCCGGCTCATAAGCATGCCGGGCACACCCCGCTGGCTGTCAGGGTGGCCGAGGAGGTGGAAGAAGCCGTCAACAGCATTCCCATGAGCCCTCCCAGTTGTGAGGTCTACTTCAACACAGGCTATCGCGTGGCGGCCGGAGAGGACCCGTCTGTTTTCGTGCCCTACCTGCTGCAGCAGCTCACGATGCCGCTCCGATGGGACTTCATTATCCAGACGAGTCTTCAGCGTGGCATCCGCAGATTCTTTGAGTGTGGTCCCGGCCAAAGCTTGAGGGAGCTGATGGTGTTCAACTCCAGCAACACCCCCACGCAGATGATCCGACCGTATGAGCTGACGACCAGCTTGAAAGTCTAATCTTCGGTGCTTGTAGGCTTGACTTTGAGAAGCCTCCTTCGCAGGAAAAGGCGAGGGTCCTGATTTTATGGGACCGGTCTGCATTAATTGAAAATGTCGCTTGCCGTCGGTGTGTCGAGCCACTCTGGCCACAGGAGCTTGCCTCGAAATCAGCTGCTTCGCACACCTCTGAAGCTGGTGCGGGTCCTGGGCTTCAGGACGTTGAAGTTGGTCTCAAGTCTTCAAGAGATCTGGGCATAGGATTTTGGTCTGTGGCCTCGACCCTAAGCAGCGTTGAAGCTTCTGCTCGGGATCTCGAGACTTTGGATCTCTGTGCTCTGTCAGGCTGCTACACCCTGCTGGCGGCCTTGACAGAGCAGGGAAGGATTCTGGGCTCCTTGGTGGCTGTGCGGTATCCTGCCCGCTTCAGGCTTTGACTGGCAGAGAAAGGTGGAGCAGGGCTTGAGAAACATGGACCGCCTGGCAGTTGAGGCTGTTTCACCGACTTCGCTTGGCGATGTCACTGTTCTGGAGGCGGCTTCGGAGATGTCTCCAGCGAATGCTTCGTTTTCTCGCTTGCAGAGACTTGACAGGAACCCGAGGAAAAGTCCCCTCCGCCAGGTCAGTTGCGCACTCACCTGTTAGTGTAGCTGCAAGTTGCCAAGGACGGTGCGGCGCGTGTCTACAGAGGATGCTGCCGAGGCGCAGGAAGCTACCGTTGCCTTAGGAGAAGTCTACAGTCTGAGTGCAAAGAGCCCCAAAGCACAAAACACGAGTCTGCTTCGAAGTCTGAAGTCTGAGAGATCCGATGTCCGGCATGGCTTGGCAAGGCTCCGTCCTGCGGTTGACCGCAGATCGAATTCGAATCGGTCACCAGGCCATTGCTTTTTACATAGCACCTGCGTGGGTTGGTGATGAACTGCAGCAGTGCTTGCAGGGATCTGGTATAGTCCCAGATGCTAGGCTACAGTCTGATGATGCACGGCGGAGCTGTGGAGCATCCTTTGCCTGAATCCGGCGGGCCCTCCTCGTACATGTTCCCGCGATTCCCAATGTCCCTACAGCTTGGACGATGCATCTCTGGAGGTGCGGCAGCGGACGACAGCCGTCGCACTGGATTCCTCGCTGCTTTGGGTGTCCAGCGACCAGGGAGACCTCTTTCGACTCATGGCGCTTCTTGAGTCACAAGGGGATGCCGAGACCTAATAACTTGAGCTAGCCTCCAACCAAGCCCTATCAGCATCATGTGTCGTGATGAAGCGTGCGTCTGCGTCTAGTCGTTCTCCGGTCTTGGGATGTTGTGAGGAGAGGAGCCCACAGGAAGGAACGGGGCTCAGCCTCGGGTGCTACGAGCGTAAATAGGTCTTGGAGATCAGAGAACTGACCGACCCTCAGCCTACAAGGAAACCCCTGCCTCCTGGACACGAGCGTGGGTTCCGCCACAACGGGCGTGGACGCCGTCGCATGCCTCAGCCGCCTGGGAAAGACAAGCCTAACCCATATTGTCCTATACATCCCCATGCCCATACTGTACTATACATCCCTAGCCCATATTGTGTCATACATCCCTATACCCTGAGCCTGAAAGGACTGAAGCCTAAGGCCACTCCTGAGCCCAATGAACTTTGCAGGACTCGACAGGGCCTTCGAGTGCTGCGATCCCCCAACCTGACAACTCTTTCTTCAAACAGTTACTACCAGCAATAGTATGCAGTATACCCTTACCGTCCCCATAGAAATTACAGCAAAAGATACCCGGAAACCTTGTTCTCAATATTAAGAATCAGTGAAATCAGGTTGGTCCCACCTGGAGCCGTCCGAGGGCGAGGAGCAGCTGCCCTTGGCGCTGCAGTCCAATCAGGACGCCACAGTGCGGGTTTAAGGGCTTCGCTATGCGTGAGGAGACATGCGGGATGCTTGAAGTGCTTCTGCAGTGATCCCGCAGTGTCTGTAAGTAGCAACCGTTGGGTCTCCGTGTGTGCTTTTTTCGTACTTGCCGCTTGAATTGGGCCGCTCGCATATTTCTCGGTGATGTAGTGATATAGGCGTGGCAGCTGACGGGTGGGCTGCCTGGGTACATCGGCCTGCCTGGGTACATCGGCCCTGTTTTGGAGACCATGTGGCCGTGGTTCACGCAGCTTCTGAGTAGAAACGCATCCTGCGAAAGTTGGAGCCAGTCAGATTGGGCGTAGGATGTGTCGCACCAAGCATCACCAGAAACACATCATTGCTCTTCCTTGTCTCCTGCCATGGGGAAAACGTTTGAAAGCCTCTCTGACGACCACGCGCCCTGGTCGCCAAGTGCTTTGAAAGGTCTTTTGGGGTTTCGTGGCACTGGATGCAGGCCCGTCAAGACGGTCAATATGCTTCGGAACATATTTCACCAGCGTGCAGCACCAGGGTTTTAGCGGTGCTAGCCGGGGGACTCAACGTAGAACCTGAAAGCACCAAACCCTTTCTGGACTAGCAGTGCAGCTTGGGAAGGAAGCGTGAGGCATCCGGCTGTCAACAAGGCATCCACGGTTCGACTTTCAAACCTGAGCCTCTCCCTGTGCTGATCGGTGACAGTATGTAGAGGGCTCCGCATAAATCTCCACATCACAGCCCGTCGAGTTACATTTTCATGAGCACGTCGTAAGCATAGCCTTGGCATCACCGACTTCCCAGTAGCCTTGGTGTGGCTGAGCATGCTTTCGTACGGTGCGTTGACGTGGAGAATTTCAACAGCTTGTACCTGCCTGCAGCGGTAAAGTCCAGACTATCTCTTAGATTCAAACGACAAGTTCCGAGACCCTGGCTCCATACCCATCCTCAGGTGACTTGGTTGAAGAAGCAAAAAGTGTTCTTCGTCGCCAGCGCGACCGCCAAAGGCCCGAGACCTGACCGAAAGTTGAGAGGCTTCACGGAGTTTCGTGGTGCTGATTCGTCGGTAGCCGATCCATGCCCAAATTCATCAACCCATCACCACATTCCGTTGAGTTCTTCCAAGCACGGCTAGAGGATGCGCAACATTGCCAAAGCCTTGTCTAGATAAGCTGAGTCTCGTCATCGTGATGGGGTGCTGGAGGGCAGAGTTGTAAGAACTGAGCAGCCCTACCAAGCTCGTCTAAGTCTCGTCTGAGTGGGGCTTCACCGGTAAAGCACATGTGGTGGGTCACCTTTGGAGTCCTCATGGCCAAATCCCGATCTGCATGCCCAGCCCCGTGAAAGTCTCTTTGGCAGGCCTTGTCAACATTTCTCCAAAAGGCAGCAGGGAATGCTTGGAGGGTTTGGGGTCAACGGCCTTGTGGGCTTCAAAGCGTCATGTCGACCAGAAGTAACTGTAGCACTGCGGCAATGCTTCAAGTTTGCTTGGTTTGGGACCCCCTTCTTCGAATGTCGGCATAGTGTCGGGTTTGCTTGCGTGCAGTTCGGACATGCGACCTAGCGGAGCTCAAACTCCTCAGCTACCTTTCTCGCATTTATCGCCTTGCAGCCTGAGAACTCAAGCGACCCTCTCGCCTGAAGGATACACCGCGGGGACCTTTGCAGTCCTTTCGCCGACGCAGGTAGTGCCTCGGGCAGGAACTGGGGCTGTCGCCGGCCGTGGAGTTTTTGACAAATTTGTGCTTTGAGCTCGATGGTGTCCAAGGCGTACCTCGACTTCACTGGCAGCGGATCTGAGACGATCGCCCACTCCTTGCAGTATCGCGGCAGAGAAGTTGCACAAAACCACGGAATCAGTTCAAAGAGTCCGGGACAGAAAGAGATTAAGGTTTCGGGCTCTGAGTGTGGCGTTTACAATGGTGAGTGTAGTGTTTGTTCACCGTTGGCTTTGTGTGCGGATCTAGGACATATTCGCAAGATCTTTTTGCAGCTATTCCTTTGAACTTATAGGCTTCCATAGTTGGAGCTTTCGGGCCTTCCCAGCTAGCTGGCGGGTGTATATGAATCGCACTCAAAGTTGGGGGTTGGCTCTTCGTGTTGCTTGCGCTGAGAAGAGTCATGTGAATGCCAGACCATTAAATTAAAGATTAAAGTTCTGCACTAAGATGATTGCGACGATGCCCAGGAATGACCGCATCACCGTGATGTTTGTTGCATTCGAGGGCGATCCCATTATCATGAGGCCTTTGCCATGCGAGATTCGGGAATTCGAGGATGCATTGGTTTCCTTAGGACACGGGGTAGGACTTGGCTCATGTGCTTCGCACAGGGCAGTCTAATCCCAAGCCCAGGGCTTGGGGTCTTTCTTCATTTTCTTCATTGTAGGGTTTTCGGAGCCCGGAGCAAGGATGGTAGATTCGGGTGCACGCTCCTGCTTCACCTGCGCGATAAATCCTTCGCGGAGCTCCCTGCCAGGCTCTACGGAAACATGCGCGCCACACGGCAGACCGTTGTGGTTTGCTGTATGACTGCAGCTTGAAAACTTGAGGTGTTTCCAGGGTCTCGCCTAAGTATCGCTGGTGGCCGGGCTCAAGGCTGAAAGCAGTGCATTGGGGAATTGCTGAGCTACATGATTTTGTCCACTTGATGCAGTCTCAAAACTCTGCTCAGCCAGACTGTGCAAGTCGGTCGTGTGGGAACCGCGTCTGCTGGCATGTTCAGTCTCCTGTCCCAGGCTATTCAGCGGGATGCTGTGCCGCCTGAACTGCTCAGCAAATTCGGCGAGGAATTTATCAGCAGTCATGGTTTCCGTGCCGCGACCGAGCAGCACATGGTTTCATGCCACAGAGCAGATAGGTGGGGCATATTCACGATGAAATGTGCGATGGCGTCACAGGGAGGAAGGTACTTTCCAGGTGAGGATTCACGATCGCTGCAATGCTTTGCAGGATTTGTTTATGATAACGTCACATCAAGCATGGTCCTGCTGTTGTATTCTTGATCGTGCAGCGCCCTGCCCGCTTTTCTGTGGACTCTGCGTCGAAAGGGTCTGCAAATCTGAGTTGATTCGCTGTTCAGCGTTGCACATCACCCGAATTTTCCGGGGAGGTGATCGTCATCGATGTCCATCGTGTTCAGTCCTCGTGCGGCTTCTCCATTCCCTTCTATGACTACGTCGGGGAGAGACCAGTCTTGCCGCCTGCCTCATGGTCTGAGATCCTGAAAGCGGTTTCGGCCAAATCGGAGTTCGGTGTTCCGATTTTCGTGTGGCTCCTAAAACTCTCGCGGCTGAGGAAGGACCACTGGGCGAAGAAGACATGGGAGGAGGCATCGCTGGCAAATCGTCGTCTGCGTGTTTTCAGACGTCGGAGTTCCCTGCTTTCAGAGCTTTCGAGGTTCTCACAATCCTCGGTGTCGCGGCTCCAGAGCCCGCAGCCCCCAAGCGCGAAGCCCTTCTCCCAGCCCCTGGAGGTTGAAGAATACCGCGTGCTGAAGAACAGCAGCTCGGCCTCCCCCTCTACATCTCTGCCTCTCCCTCTCGCTCTCTCTTTTCCCTTTAATTCCTCCTGCCATAGCAAGAGCTATCAGAAGCTACTGGTATCAGCTCATCCTTGGCACTTCGAGGCTTCTCAATCGACCTTCTTCCGTCCATCGGCCATCGCATCTGGAACCCAAAGGCTGGGCCGGGACGCTGCTAGGGGCGTGGATCATAGTGAATCATACGCTTTCAATTTGTGAGCTTCCGAAAACGTCCCACCTCATAGTGTTGGGCAGTGCGGCCTTTCGATTTTCGATGGCTTTTTGCCTGGCACGGGTAAGTTTTTGTCGCCAAGCTACAGCGGAGAGAGTTCTCTAATGGCTCGACCTGCATCATAAGGGCTCCGAGTCGCTGAAACTGCGGGTGCGGGCTTCTGTGGTGGAGGTGTTGAGGGCTGGCGTGCTTGACAGGAGGCTTAGGCTGCAGATTCGAGCACTTGCAGAGTTTCGGGGGCTTAGGGATCGAATCCTCAATGTTGTCAGTTTCGTGTAGTTTTGTTCGACAGCTGAGCCCTTGGAAACGCACAGTTTCTGGTGCTTGGTACACATTAGAAACCCTACATAAACCACAAAAACACCCTCACACCCTCTACAGACCCTACATAAACCATATAACCATCGATAAACATTCTACCAACACTCCAAAACATCTTTCTTCTATAAACCTTATATAAACCCTATTTGCGCAATCTGCAAACCCTCTATTAGCCTTACATCACCCACATAGAAACCTTTATAGACCCTACATCAAGCTTTCAGGGTCCTAAACCCCGAACCCAAACCGTTTGCACCCTAAACCCTAAACCCCGCACCCTAAACCCTGAACCCTAAACCCGACACCCTTTAGACGGGGACTTCATCTCGAAAAAGCAGAGGCCCCTGAAGTGGCTCCGCGGTTCCGAGCCGGCTTCTGGTATGGCCCTTGGGCTCATCTTGGGGTTGGTTGCGGGTTGGGGCTTTAGGGATTAGGGGTTTAGGGTTTAGGGTTGAGGGGTTTAGGGTTGAGGGTTGAGGGCTGTAGTTTTAGGAGTTGGCTTTAGCGGGTAGGTGCCGAGGCTTGGGGAGTTGCGGCGGTTGGGCGAACAAAACTTGGGAGGAGGCTCGCCGGAGTCTGAGGTTCAGGGTTTGGGCTTTTTCGACTTTCGGTTCGGGGTTTGGGCTGAAGGATCTGGGGATGAAGAGTTATGCTGGCCCAAGGCCAGGGAAGAGGGAGTAAATCTCAGATTGCCATCAACTCAACTGCAAAACATCAACTGCTCCCGAAATCCCCCCAAAATGAGAAGTACGACATGCATGGTACGCAGGCCCATCCACCGCAAAGCCCGTAGTATCCTTGACGCCTCAAAAGCTAAAGTCGTCTGGCAACATCTGAGGCTTCAAGGATGTCACCATGCAGGAGCCGTGCTTGATTTGGAACCCACCATGGCCTGACGGAAACCGGGTGGGGCCGGATAGCTGCTGCAGATTGACCCGAGATAGACCCCAAGCCCAAAACACAAAACCCGAAACCCCGAAACCTGAACCCCACAACCCTAAACCCCAATGCCCCCAGACCCCTCAACCCCTAAACCCGGAACCCTAAGCCCAGATGATACTGCAAATAATGGTGTGGTGTAGAACTCCTGGTTTGATAAGATCTGCAAAGGGACCGGAGGCCACCTTCAGGCAAGGCTGGATAGTGCGGCCACAACCCTCAACCCGAAGCCCCAAACCGCAAACTCCGCAAACTCCTAAAAGCCCTAAAGGCCAAAGCCCTAAAGCGTAAAACCCTAAATCTTCAAGGCTCTTCCTTTAACCCTAAAGTCCCTAAAGCCCAAATCCCTAAGATTCCGAGCCTTGGATGGGGACCCACGGCGCCAAGGAACGGCTGAGCTCTTGGCTCCAGCGAGCTCTCGGGCCACTGCGGCTTCGACCGCAGGAAGGCCAAAATCGTTTGAGGGTTTAGGGTTTCGGGTAGGGTTTAAAGGGTTTAGGGTTTAAAGGGTTTAGGGTTCAAAGGGTTTAGGGTTTATAGGGTTTAGGGTTTAGGGTTTAGGGTTAAACGAGCCCCAAAATAGTATTGGTAATTATTGAGGGCCTAAGTACCTTACAAACTGCTCTCTTAGAGCATAGTATACCCCAAACCCGTATATTGCTCAAGTCACGCTTGAGAAGTGGAGTTCTTTGTCACCGCTTGAGATAAGAAATGTTTTGCCCCCTAAGCCTGGACCCATCAAGAGAGTCAAACTGGCCAAAAATGGCAGTACTGGCATTACCAAATTCAAACAGTCTCTTGAAAGATTGAAACCAACCCAGCTTCGTGAACACGATTTCCGCGTGCACACCTGCTTGAACCACTATGGGCCGCCACAGGGGCCCATGTGTGCTGCAAAAAAATCAGCTTTTCGACTGAGCCGCGGAATCTTACGCGTAGATGTCCGCATCCGTGTGATGTTCCTGTACAGTTGTTAGACGCTTGTTCGCGAAGTTTTTGATTCGATGTTGCATTGCATTGATGAAATCATTGCAAAACTTAGTTAGGAGGCTAGTGCAAAATGCAGCAGCTAGTTACGAGATGCACAAGACATTAGCAGCTGTACTCGCATCAGACTTCTATCCGCACACACCCCGAAACCCTATTCTAATTTTAAGGCCGGCATATTACTCTAGTCTATCCTTTCGTACTTTACTATCACCTGCCGGCGAGACAGCTTTTAGGTACATTTGCGGCTTTGTGGCAGGTCGCACTTGTTGTTCTCGGATCTGGATTTGTAAGAAAGTGCGAGACATGTTTTTTGCAGTGGAATGTGCAATGACGTTTGTACGACCTGCTTTGGCGATCAGCATCTTGGCACATCGCACATTTCTTTTTAAGGATGGGTTACTTCGACGCCACGAAAATTTTTGTCCAACTGATGAGATTAGAGCCCACTTTCGCGCTGCCACGCCGACGCCTGAATTTGGACTCCTGGAGACAGATTTTCTATTGATGTTTGCAGAATTTTAGGTTTCGTTGTGCATTCCGTGCCATTGCTGCATGTTCTTATGTTAACATCCCTTCTCCATGGCTTGGTTTCGGGTTGGTGGTGTGAGCACGATGCGACGCGCGGATTTCCTAGAGCCCCCGTTCACCTTGGCCTCCAAACCTGAATGTTAAAGAACAAGCCCGAACCATACCCACATCTGCTGAGGAGCTTTCTTACGACCCGCGACGTCGGCATGCTTGGTGCCGGTGCACTTGGCGCGGTGGCTGCGGCCAAGTACTGTGAAGCCTGTCGGAAGGTTTAGCCGTTGCCGGATTGGATGAGCTATCCAAGCAACGACCAATATCTTGTGCAACATACCTCCTGTTCAATGGATTGCAGGACTCTGAAACGGCCAAAGGCCGACCTGTCGTGAATCTTATTGTTTACCGTCTTGTTTACTGTTTCTTGCTTATGATCCTGAGAGCCTGAACCCTAAACCCTAAACCCTAAACCCTAAACCCTAAACCCTAAACCCTAAACCCTAAACCCTGCTCTGCCAGCAGCCAAGTCCCACAGTCTGGGGCCTGTGATGGGCTCCCGGGACTGGCGGATGGAGCAATGCCCTCGGAACGACAGTTTCCAGGCATTGCTCCTTCCAGCTTGCGGCGCCCCGTTAAGAACAAGCTGTACAGTGTCCAGTCTTTGGGCGTTTCGGTTAGTCGACTTGGAAAACAGGCCTGCTTCTGAGTCTGTATCGTGACATGCCGGAACTTCTCTTCACGGAAATGTTAGGTTCTCCATGCAAGAGCGTTTCCTCCAGCACCTTGAGGGCCTTTGGCATGTTCTTCCTACTACTATCCGTTTGTCTGCAAGACGCCAGCAACATCCTGACTGGAACTAACCACGCCGGAATCCTCGTCGTCAAAATGAATTGGGCCTTGCAAACGCGCTAGCCCTTGGCCTTCAATCTTCAAGAAGACTTTCTGCAGCGGGACAGGACACCTTCATGCTCAACTTCATTGGCACGTCAGTGCGCAGCCAGCTGGCCGCGAAAGCCGGCAGCGCCTGGTGTTGAGCTTGAAAAAGTGAGCTTCGCTGCAAGTCCCTGTGTTGCACAGGCATGGTCTTGAAAGGCGTGCATTTAGGCAGCAACGGCAGACTGAGCTGGTGGGTATTGGGTTGGAACATCCCGAGCCTCCAACATCAACGGCAACAGCAATAGCGGTAGTAGTACTTGACGTTGCACGGATATTCGTCCGAAGAGTAAGACTAAGTATCAACAGGTAAAGCAACTGCATTCGCACTCAATTAAGAACAGTGCCATTTAAGCTCGCAATCAAAGGCAGTAGTGGAGAGCCGGATCACACTAAGATAATGATAATAATGCTTGCATATATATATATATATTATGTGTGTGTGCATGCTGATGTCTGTATCCATACCTACATCGATATCTATATCTGATATATCTGTATCGTTATCTTCATCTACATCTATATCTGTATCTACGTCTACATCTGTATCTGTATCTATATCCATATCTATACCTGTTTCCATATTCTTTATCTCTTTCAATATCTGTATCTATATCAATATCTCTCTACATCTTTACCTGCCTGCATCCACATATGCATCCATATATGTATATATATATATATGCAACCACACAAATGTATATGCACCATATAGATATGCATGCATGTATTTATGTGTGTTTGTACAAACCGATACATATGTGTGCGTATGCAGATGTCGAGATAATGTTTTAAAAGGTCTCAAAATATGTACTCATGCGCATAGTCACATGCATATCGGTTGAAGAATGAACATAGTAGAAACAAGACATGTGCAAACAAAGAAATAAACACAAAAGGTGCATGTTAAATGCATAAATATATAAGCATGTAGAAGCATGAATATAGATACGAGCATGTATAATCAGGAACATATGTGTAAATGTGTGTATATATATATATATATATCTATGCATATACATGCGAACAATTCAGTACAGATAGGGAAATAAATCGACAGATAAATGGATCGATAGATAGAGCAGGGGAGGTCCTTGCTTGCTGAGGTTGCACTGTGGCAGCCGCGGCCCTTTCTGGTGAAGCCCCCTGCCCGTGCAGCGCCAAGAATCCAAACAAGCCAGGTTAAACATTGTTACATGTACCAATGCGTGCGTGTCTATGTTACATCCGACCATGTTAGACCAAGTTTCACTATGCTGTACTATTCCTTGATGCTGGTACCTAACACACAGCTGTGGATACAGTTGCTCATGATCTTTTGGGGACTCCGGCCAGTTCGTTGGCTGTCGGGTCGTTGTAGGATTCAAGGCTTGAAGCTTGATTTTCGTGCACATCTGCAGAAAGAGTCATAGAATCCCAGCAAGCCTTCTTCTTTTTGTTCCTCGATTTGCAGCTGCGCACCATTATGTTTCATCACATCGCCGGCAATCAGATGCAGGTAAGAGCAGGGCATGCTTTCGAGTTGATTCCTTGGGCATGGGGGGTTGCTTCGAGAAAGGGGGAGCTGTCGGCAGCAAGCACGTGGAGGTGTTGGTCTTACACTGTTCCAGGATTCGGAGCCCACATACGAAGCTCTATGATGGGCAGCTTGCTGTAACAACGAATCCAGGAACCCTTAAGGCCCTTAATCTCTCTTGTTGCTCCTACCTTTGTGAGTCGTGTTTGTGCTGCTCCGTGTTCATGCAGCTGCTGCTGCTGCTCCTCCGATTACCGGCACCCAAGAGTACTGTAGCACTGCTGTACTACTGTACTGTACTACAGCACTACATATACATACTGCATACTACCACTACTACTACTACTACTACTACTACTACTACTACTGCTCCTGCTACTGCTCCTACTGCTGCTACTGCTACTGCTACTGCTACTGCTACTGCTACTGCTACCTGCTACTGCTACTGCTACTGCTACTACTAGTGCTACTGCTACTGCTACTGCTACTACTACTACTACTACTACTACTACTT